AGATTCGAACCCACACTAGAGACTTAAATATAGTTTGTTTAAGTAACTGGGATCCGTCTTACCAACCAATCACATTTTTTTTTTCTTGGTCTAGAGGACTTGGATACTTAACGGACCGTTGGTAAATTATATTATAGTTGAACCCGATATAAGGTGAAAACTGAAAAGCAACAGGTGAGAGATGTGATATTTTCACTTTCCTGTTTAAAGTTCGAGTGAAGACTTGCATGTCCAATTATTACCAAAAAATAGGATATACTTTTTTTTTGCTTACAAGACAAATGGGTTTTTGTTGTTATTCCATAATAATAATTTGAGGATAAGGGGATAAGTTCTCCATAGTAAGGTCATAATAGTCTGAAGCCAGTCCCTTCTTCAATTGCTGTCATAGACATAAGCCATTGCCTGTCCATTTCATACATAGCACACCATGTGATGTTGGTTTCAAACACAGGGCAATGGTAGGCTGAACAAAATATGAGATTAAATAACGTAGCATTAATATAGTGGTGCTAAATTAGCAAAATTTTTGGGGAAAAATTTGAAACTTTTAACATATCGGTTTTTCGGAATTTAAGATGAGCTTTAAAATTTTGGTCCAAAAATTAAGTGTCAAAACAAAATATAAGATTTGTTTTAAAATCAAAAGAATATTAACAAAATTTATAGAGAATAATGCACAAAATATATTTTAAAAAATTAATTCAGGAACTTGATATATCCATGCGTTGATCTTGAGGATCACACTATTCTTTTCTTTCTCTTTTATTCTTTGTTTTTCAGTGCATCTAGATACAACAATCTGATTCCTTTTATAAGCAAAGCTTACAAGAGATTTTAAGGCTATCAGACAAAGGGAAAGTGGCCGGAGACAAGGAATTCAATGGCCACGTCCTTTTTAGTTGGGTGGTCTTTCACCCTCGACTTTACAACAAGAATCAAAATTTTAATTTTAGGTTAACTTAAGTGGCAGTCGGCCACTTGATAGATGTCTTAAGTTGGCAGTGATTAAGGATTCAATATTCCACAGGGTGAAAATGTTTCTTAGGGCTACCTCTCTTTTATTTAACGAAAATGTTACACAATCCAAATGCATAATATCCCTTGGATGAGTAGGTTTTCACTAAAAAATTTAATGGGATCCACTCATTTAAGGGAAGAAGATATGCAATTGGGTTAAATCTTTTTAGATTTCATTTGGATTGTGTAACATTACTCTAGATTTAACCGCTACACGTAGAGATGACACTTTGCGCATGGGCTCAAATTGCCTACTGACATCGGGTCCAAATGGGCTTGGCTGGCCGGGGTTTAGGGTTAGCACTTAAGCCAACATCGCCACGTGTTTTGAGCCTACCTTTCTATCACTCAATCCTCATTACCGCATAATTGAGAGAGAGAGAGAGAGAGCTACAAAAGAAGAATATATTTTTGCAGTAATGGTGATCAAGAGATTGGAAATGTGCGTGAAAATTCTGAAGTTGGCCATTGCGTTTCTCTTCTTCTTTGTTGAAGCAGTTGCTACAAACATTCATTCAGCTTACTACGTTGTTCCTGCCCCTTATATCGTCATTCTTCCTTGATTCATTCGTCAGTTCTTCTATCTGTGAGAGCCAAAGCCCATTCCCATGGCTTAATTATGCCCTTCTGTGTGACTTGTGCTTATATTGTTAGGTGAGAATTTTTCATTATGTTTTTCAAGTTTTTTTTAGTCATGGAAACAATCTCTCTATTTATAGAGATAAGATTGCGTACATTTAATTCTCCATATACCCCATAATAACGAAAATCTTGTGCACTGGGTATGCCATTTTCATGTCTTGTTAATAATACTGAGCTGGGTATTTCTATGTATTTATAGTTTGATTGTATAGGACACCATTTTTTTTTCTTAGTTGTAAAAATATATAGATGATGATATTCCACATAATCAAAACACCATGAATTTTTGTTGGAGAAAATCATTCCAACCACGTCCCGTTTGATTTTTTGTTGCAAGTTGAATTGTGAATGTATGCAATTATCCATAAAACTTGCATATTTGTTAATTATAAATTTTATTGAAACTCAAACTCAGGCGTACAAAGTTTTGACTCACCCTTTGGCATAACTCTATGTTGCTTGCTTTGCTTGATAATTGATACATAATATATTGTGGGTGTCATTTGTTCCATTTCTAGTAGGAAATTAATTTAGACTTGTTAAAGATCAATTAGAAACCCTATTGTATAAATAGATTATAGACCATTCAGTTTCTTTTGGAGATTTTGGTCTTCAGTTTTGGACATCCGTGTGTGGTTATATTATTTGGATTAGAAAATTTTGTGTAATCTCTTCTCCCTTTGTTAATAGTAAAATTTTATTGCTACTTTTGGCCTGTGAATATAAGCTTTTGAATCGATCCACGAAAAATTGTGTTCTATATTTTTCTATTTCGTACCTTTCGCTTGTTTCGGCCTTTGTTCATAACATAACAAGTGCTGTTGAAGAACAAAAGTGAATATCAATTTACATAGTCATTTATAAAGATAAATACTTGTCATCGCTCTTAATCAACTTCTATAATTAATTTTAAAAAATAGTTTGAAAAGTGCTATATATATATGTTGCAAAGGATAATATCAATAATGAGATGGACACAGATAAATGGTCCAGTTCTCTTTGTACATTAGTACATCACATCATAGCATAAACTTGTTCTATACCACCAACCGATCACCCATGTGATCTGCATGTTCACTTTTTTAACTGATTAATTATTTGATTAATTACTTAATCTTTTAAATTAAGAAAATATTATTTCTATTATATGGTTTTTTTTTTGTTTTCATATTTTCCTCATTAAAGACAGAGATTAAAGTGCAGGCCTTAGCATAATATGATTTCGCCATTTTAAGCTTTAATTAAAATGTGTATAATATCGTGTATGGTTAATTTTTGAAATAAAAATTATGTTAAACTATAAATTAATCAAATATTAAATAATTAAACATGTGATAAAAATAAGTGATGAGATAGTTTTGGGGGAAAAAATATGTATGAGATAAAATTTCAAACACCTAACCGTTTTATTTTATATATCTACACTACTAATGAAAGGAAGTTAAGTGAAAAATTTTTAATTGACTATTATATTCCAATTAAAAAGGTTAAAACCAAGTATATCCCTAATAATTAAATATTCAAATGATTGTTCCTTATAATGTACGTTTACTTATTTCACAAGTTGATGCCTCTTTCTTTCCTAAATTCTTTTCACCAACCATTTAGTTTACAATACAACCATTATCTAATTCAATTTTTTGCAGACACTTTATTGCCACTTAATTTCTTATTGATTCATTGATACACTTGTACATGATTGTTCAAATAATAGTATATAAAAAAATTATTTTTTTATTTTCAAATAATTGGACTTTTAATCCTTCCTCCAACACATTCCATAAAAGTTTCTTGTTTGTTTCATTTATTTTTTGACCTTTCAGATTTTAACTTAATATTGATTAGCCAATTTGAACTTTTTTATTTCATATACATTCTCTTTTCTCTTGTAACAATCAAAACATAAAAGTTAGAAAACTTCTATAGCTGTTAAGTTTCACAATTATGTGAATTATTTTCTCTATTTCTCTTTCCACTAACCAATTGATCTCACTTTTTGTTCTTGTTTTTTTCTATTTTGTGCATGAATGTGTATATTCCCTTAATTTTTTTGATTCTAATTAAGGTTTGTTCATTTTGATAATGAAGAAAATTCAACATCTAAGAGTAACGAACGATGGATAACATATGAAGATGAGGGCCTGACATGACATATGGCCAAAATTTGCATAGTTTTGTTCAATCTCACTATTTTGTATTGATTTTGACTAGATAAATGTTGGAAGAATTGGACAAGTTTAGTGGATTTGGTCAATGTAGACATAGGGTCTCAAGAATATATGATAAAACACAAAATACAGAGAAATTATTTATCAAAACACAAGAATATTGCTATCTACTAAGATGTGCGAATCCTCTATACTAGGACACCATAAATTTTATATAGTTATCTATTGTTTTGTTTAATATAACATAACTATTAGACATGTTCATGTACTCATTCCTCATAATTTTAGGAAGTAAATTTATTTGATTTGTTGTTAGTCTCAACCTTGCTCACTGGCCATATCCTCAAGGTGCAGAGACTACAATAGTGAAGTGAAAAAAAATCTAAGCAAATTGGGAGAATGAAATAGCTTGTAGAGTCTTGACAACCTCTTAATTTCAATTAGATGATAGAAAATAAAGTAAATTGAAACAAAACATTTAATTTTTTTCCCTTAAAGTTTGAGGGTATCAAGCTAACCTTGATAAAAGATTAGGAATTGTTTCTCTTAGAATAAGAAAACAAAACTATAATTTGAAATAGCTCACTTGCAACGTATGTATACACCAACTAGTATATATATATATATACTAGTTATTGCCGTACCTATATGTACGAAATAATAAAAAAATTATCAATCATAAACATTTTTGTATTCAGACTCAATCAAATCATAGACATAAAAGAGGGAGAAAGAAATTTAAGTACCGATTATAGTAGAACTGAGCGGTGGTAGTGATGGTGGGTAGCGACGATTGTGGGTGGCAACGGTGATGGTGAGTTTTGGGTGACGATAGTGGTAGTGGCAAAGCTAGGATTAACAGTGGTGGTGGTGATGGGCAATGTTGATGATGGTGGCCAATGGTGGTGGTGGGGCGATGACGGTCGTGGTGGCGGTGGGATCAAGAATAAGAATCCCTTCATATGATGCTATCTTCCTCTCACTAGCTACTAGAGTCGAACATGGTTTGGCATATTTCTCCCTTTCTCTCACACAATTTATACTTATAGATATGCATGAAGTGGTTGGTTAGACTGGTCAATTACCAGCATCTTGCTAAGTTATTCTCTCTCTTTCACAAACACACACAAACATTTCTGTTTTTCCTTGCGGCGAAAACTTATTAGATGATCAATAATACTTGTCAGCAATGCACCGGAGATGAACCGAAAGCTCAACCGGCTTAGACATCATGGCCATGTGATCGCTTCCTGTGATCTCCACCACTTCATTGGGGAGATTTTTCTCGACCATCCATCGTAGAAAATCCTTCTTTACCAGCTTGTCTTCATCACAAATTACGAAAACCCAATCAACCGAACCATATCTCTTTCCCGACAACATCAGCACCTTTGACATGTCTTCGTCACTGTACAAACGCAGCAGCCTAAGCAGCAACATTGCCAGTGCCAAATCCTGTGAGAAATGTGGCAAAATGATAAGAAACATCGCTTGATAATGGTTAAATTTCATACTCGTTTGTGCATAATTCAATGTTTTAAGTATGGGTAATTATATTTTACCTTGAACTATTACCCTTATTTACTTTGTACCATCAACTATAAAATTTCTCATACTACACTCTAAAGTATCAATTTTATTTCATATCAATATATAATGACTGTCATTTTTTTGACGGATTAAAAGGATAAACTTGAAAATCTATTAAAAGAGAGAGTGAAACTCCAAAGTTTTCCATCAAGTGTTTAGTACCATTTTATTTTAAGCAATTCTATTGAAATCTAATTTATTGACATAATTTATTAACCTAATTCACTATATACCCATCAAATATTAGAACTTAGTGTTGATTCAATAATTCCTATGAAACAATATTATTATGTCAACAAATTAGATCAGATTTTTAGATCCAAATAGTATTACTTTTTTATTTTACCTTTTTTGCAGCCAAATATGATTGCTGAGAAGGAAAAAAAAAGGTTGGCAAGATGAAAAAAATGTAGAGCTTATGAATGGATAAATATTTTTTTTGATTTTTAACCTATATATGTGCAATAGACAGTTATTTATCGGCAGCACATAACACACTCACATGCACATTATTGTTAAAAAATTGATACCCATTATTTATTGGAGTAATATGAAACAAAATTGATACTTTAGAGTGTAATGTTAATTTTTTATAGTTGATGGTATAAAGTGAAATAAAGGTAATAGTTTAAGGGGATAAAATGTAATTTACTATTTAGCATTCCGATTCTGCATACCTCAATTGGGCTGAACTGAAATACATTTGTTGCTGAGTACAAGGGGCCCAAGATGAAGGTGGTTGGAGGATTGCTGGGTCCATCATCATATGTATAACGACTATCGAGTATAAATTCTCGTCTCCTGAATGACTTTGACAAAGAATCGAAGTAATTAGCCATGAGAATTAGTTAATGTACAAAGGGGTCCGATTATACCATGGCAAGTAGTGGGATGACAATTGAGTCATGTCGAGTTCGTATTAATGTAATGTCAAAATTACGGCCCTCAATAGTGAGTAACTTTTTTTTTTTTTTTTGTCATACGAGTTAACCCTATGGATGAGTTGAAAAAGAGGGGAGCCCAAACGATACAGTTTGCTCAACATCCTTATCCTCGCATCTATTCAAAATATGAACAATTTTTTGTTTGACTAGTTTCATTTCTGTTCAACTAATTTGCTTTTGATGGAGATGTATTCAATTTCATGTAGGCCCCACCATAATGGAATAAATTTGAATTTCAAAAGCGTAAAAGTGAAACCAACAACACTTGATATGATAGATGCAAGAGTTCCATGAAAGGAAAATGCTATACGATCAAAATGAAACTAAAAAATTGTAATTTAAATATATATCATCATTTGAATGAGTAAATTCTACTGAAAAAATTGCTGAGGCTCATTCCTCTAATAGATGATATATGAATTTGGGTTGTATATCAACAAAAACCACAATAAAACACCTCACATATCAACAAAAAAAAAAAAGAAAAAAAAAGAGTAAAAATGGGCAAAAAAGCAAGGAATACCTCTTGATTGAGGTTAGATATGTTGAGGGTTGGACCAGGCATCAAGGTAGTGACAAAAACAGCAGCTGAAATTTTTTCTGGAAATCTCTCCATGGCATAAGAAATAGCCAACCCTCCAAGGCTGTGACCTACCAAGATGACTCTCTCATGTGAAGGTAGAGCGACCATGAAGTCCAGCAATGCTGAAAATAATCGGAGAGAGAAGGAACATCTTTCACTTGTTTCGGATCGATCCCGGCAGCAGCCAAGTCAAGAGCTGTGACATTGTGGCCTGCCGATTTTAGAAGTTGCACTTGCTTCTACCAAGACCATGCACCAAGGCATGCCCCATGAATTAGCACAAAGTGCTTGCCAGATTCCGGCCTCCATGGCTGCTCGGATCTTTCTGCATTCACTATTTGGAGAGAGAAGAAGATGAGAACAAATACAAACATAACATGGTGCTTTTTTTCTAATTTCCTCCTTGTTTTCTTCTCCTTCTGTCTAGAAGTCATAGACACAAATAGTCAACAAATCATATTTTATACACCCTTATCAAGTTCAATTATTTTATCTTGAGTATATAACTTCAGATATTAGGATGAAGGGAACTACTTTAATATTTTTTTTCATCCCTTAAAAGATTAAAATTCTCATATTATATCAGTAATTTCTTCAATTAGTATATAATAGGGAAGAAAAGAAGCATGATCTGTTTGGACTCAAGTTTACTGGGCGGCTTTTCCATCAGCAACAAAAAAAAATTGAAAAATGAGGCTTATGCAAGCCCTTGCAAAGAAAAACCGATTTTTTCGGAAATACTCTAAATGGTTCTAAGAGGTTTTTTAACTCTGACTTTTTCATTTCATTTTCCAAACATTTGTTTCGCACATGAAAAAGTCAGTTCAAAATGTGCCCAATGTATTCCAAAAGCACCGGTCATTTTTTTCCTCTGTACGGAATGTGCCAAGCGAGGAGACAGAAACAAATCATCTGTAACTTTTATGACAAATTGCTTCAATTTAAAAAATTTAGGGTGCAACGTAAAAAATGGGGTGATAAGTAAAAATTTCAAATTTTTTAGAGGACAAAGTGTCATTCACCCAAGATATTTACAGATATTTTTAAGTTACTCCAAAGTCCAGAAATTGTTTATTTTGAATTTGTATGAGGATTCTTCCTTGGAGATTGAGTTTTCTGGGAACATGTCCAGACATGTAGACAATATCGGGGTATATTCGGAATGCCACTGTGAGGCTAAAATGAACATGGCTTTCGTCAGAAGTAGATTTGCAAAAATAAAATTAAATGCAACAATCGAATCAATTCATATCGTTTTGCTTTTAGATGGTATCGTATCAAAATTGAGTTATTGAAGACTATCCACCATACAAAGGAATGACAAAAATGAAAGAAATTCACAATTTTTGATATTGAAGACTAGCTAAATGAGTTTGTCGTGTCAAAATTGAGTTATTCGTGCCTGAAACAAATCCACCCCGTTTATTATTTATATTAGCAGATTGTACCACTTTTAGATTTTTAACACTAACCTATTAATTTTACATTGAATTCATATGATATTGACATGTGTGACAAAAATTTCCACTCTTAGATAGAATGCATACTTCAATTATTGAAATTTTCTTTCTAGATGAAGATTCCAAGTGAAGGCTGAGGGCATATATTAGTAACACAATAACTATTCACGAGTTTTTTTGTCTTAAAATCATATTAATAATGTTTGACACTAATCTGGTTCATTTATAATTTGTATTAATACATCGTATCATTTCAGCTTGACACCGGGAATTATTCAATTACAACTCTCTATTTCGTGTCAAATTTGTGTTGTGTTAATGCATCACATAAAAAACTATGACCCCTAAGTAGAATGGGAGAGAAGAAGAAAATCAACAAGCAACTTTTATTTAGTTTACAAGAAAGCAAAGCTAAGACAATTCTTAATGCTTGCACAAAGACAATTCTTCCCTTTAACCAGATTTCTGTGAGAGCCTGAAATGAGAGATTTGAATATTTTCAACATCAAGCTTCTGAAAATTACTGCATCTTCGAGTTGCAAAAAACTTCCCCCAGTTATATGCCTTATACTTGGCAAGGTTTTGATCATTTGTCAGCTCTTTTAGGGGTTCCACCATGGTGCAGTGGGCTAGGTTGAAGAAGAATGGAATGGAAAACCTGTCTTTCTCAGAATTCACTACTGCCTTGTGCTCTACACTTTCATACCTTTCATTGCTCCAAACTTGTACATATGTTCACACACACCAAATGACATTGACAACAAGACAAACCTCTCATTTTTAGTCTGAGTAGTCTAATAGTAACGTAATCAAAAAATTTTATTCAATGAACACCATTCATGAGTTATTGGTAATGCCAGGTTTCCAATGTATCGAGCCTATGAAAATCATTCCGTCTAATCAAGAAATTAATACGTATTTGTTAAGTTGCAAAATATTTATGATTTTATCACTTAATTACTTATTACAACAAATTTCATCATAAGTATTCCAAGTGCGAAAACCATAACAAAACAAAACAATGAGTGTGCACACGCGTGTGTGCGCAGATCTCTCATAGTACTCGATTACAGAGTATAATTTAACAAATTTGAGAGGGCCACGGAAATTGAAATATCGATCTATTAAGTAAAATTTTGAGAATTTGATGGCGACGACCATCTAGGCCACAACATGGCTCCGTCTATGATTATCAAGGATGCGTGGTTGCAAACAAAATCAAACCAATTATGGTGAATATAGAACGCACAAATGTGGCTAGATCTTTTCTTTTTACTCTAGTTATCTGTTATTCTTACGGCAGTTGTATCATTATTCAATACTATTCTAGAGCTTATAAAGCTTGTAAGTTGTTGGCATAGTACATTTTACATGACTATGGCTCAATCATATAATTCTACCGTTTATGTTTAATAGTAAGTAGCTAGTTGTCTCAATAGTTACCTTAATGTTCTATCGAGTTGCCTATAACTCACTCGTATGCATGGATTATGGTACCTGAATAATGTCACCAACATTGATAATATGTGCATCATGAATAGGTTTGACCCGAATCCACTCTCCATTTGTTTTTCGCTTCACTTCGAGTCCTTCAACATCGTCTTGAGCGAGGATGGCCAGGGCACCGGAATCCTTGTGGCGGCCAATCCCAAGAGCTAGGTGAGGAATGGGACAAGTTGGATAGTGGTTGAGCCGCATGTAGCTAGTTTGGTCTTCGAAGAATCCATTCAGACGATTAGCCGACAGACCTAAGCTTAGAGAGATTAGTTCCATCAACTTTTAAGCTAGTTTTTGCCCTTCCTGAGCATAGTGTTCGCATTCTTCTCTGGAAGACCAAGATCTACTAGTAAGTAAATAGGGAAAAATGAAAGCGGTATAGTTTTTAAGACTTATTTGAATAAAAGTTTATTTAGAAAAATATTTTGAATAAAAGTTCATTTTGAAGCAAAATAACTTAAGTACCCTCAAAGCAGACTTACTAATGCATCAAACTCTCTCTCTTTCTCTCTCTCTCTCTCTCTCTCTCTCTATTTTCTCTCACTATTACTCTCTCTCGAGTAAATATTGAATGCAACGGGGATACTATGTCAGTAATGTTGACATGATATCACTAACTAATAATAAAACACTAAGTGGACAAGGTAAATCCCACTAGAGTAGTTATTTGCTTACATGGAGGAATAATGAATAATTATTTACTTACATGGAGGGTTGATTATTAATTTTAATGGGATCCATTGCCATTTAATCATTCTCTCTTGCTTTCTCTATTTTCTTTGACCGTTACTCCCACTCTCTCTCCCTATTCTCTCTAACAATTACTCTCTCTCCCTATATTTTCTCTCTCAAACTCTTTCTCTCTCTTGTATAATCATGACAACATTACTCTCTCTCCATCCATATATTTTTATTTCTCTTTCTCCCCTTATTTTCTCTCTCCATTAAAGAAATACGAAAATGTGGCAAACCATCCCGAAAATGAAGATCGAGGAAGGAGAAAGGCGACCCAAGAGCAGCGGAGCCTCAAGAAAGAGGTCACCAAGTTAGAATAGCTACACACACGCTTTGGTGAGGAAGCTAGCCTATTTTGTATTCAAGCAAGATTCATTTTACTATCTTGCGTTAAAGTGAGATTCACTTTGCACATGTTAGTCTCTCATTGGTTAATGATTAATGATTCATCAAGAAGAGAATTTGAAAAAACGAAGTATTTCCTTTACTGCTTGAACAAAAATAATTCAAAAAATTACCTCAATTCTGGTGGATTATCGGGCCACTGATTAAAATACTCTCTCAGCTCCTTATCATCAGGCTCATGAGAAGTAGGAAACAGTGTTAGATTCTGTTTGATAAGATCAAACACCTCTTTCCAGTCTCTAACATTCTTGGTATACTTAGTATCATAATATCCCAATGGGTTCACTTCATCTCTCCTCACCTTTTTCTTCTCCTCCTTCGATAGAGCGAAGAACTTCCTCGCCACGATCTCAAGGTTTTTTTGGCATTCTAATGGCACCCCATGGTTGATCACCTGGAAGAAATCCCAATTCTTGCAGGCCTCAGCTATCTTAGATATAAGAGGTCTTATGGTTGCGGCTTCGGGCTCCGACGAGTTGGGGGAGTTTAGAACGAAGAGATTGATCAGTGGAATGTCCTCTGCTTCGACAACGACGAGTTTTGGACGGTGCTCGGTGGCTTGGATGAAGGTTGTGTCTACTTCTCCCATGGCTGTAGGTGAGTGGTGGGTGACACATGGGAAGCAATTTAAGTTGTGACAAAAAACCGTCAATGTTATTGTGTATATAAATACACATATATATGAGGGGTGGGTGGGAGTTATCATATACATTGACCCCGGACGCATGTAATCCTATGTTTGAACCTTCTGAGTCCATGGCAAAAACCCTTGTAGGTTGTAATTAAGCTTAATAATCCATGACTAAGGTATGATACAACATAAATTTCGAACGTTTAGAAATTCGATTCCAATTTATGAAATAGTAGGTTTTTTTTTTTAAATTACATAATTTAATTGATGTCTACTCATTTTTCTTAAAAATATTGTCACTTTTGTTTTTCAAAATATATGATCTCAAAAAAAATAAAATAAATAAAGATGTGTATAATATCATATATGGAAATAATTGAAATAAAAATTATATTGAGTCATAGATTAATGAAATATAAAATAATTTAAGTTATGATAAAAATAAGCGAAAAAAATATATGAAGATGAAATTCAAATTTTTTATATATTATATTGATGTCATAGTTGTGTATGCACTTGCTTTGAAATGATTTGTCGGGAAAAAAAGGAGACTAACTTGGGCACGACTAGTTTTCTTTTTGGGAAATGCTATTTATATTTAATTTAGTGATTTTATTTGATGACATAATAGATTATAACCATTAAATTGATAGTGTGTTGCAACTAATAGTGGGATCCACTGTCAATCTAATGATAGAGAATGACAACGTTATCAAACAAAGTTATTAAATAAGATTCATGTAATATTACTCATTCTTTTTTGGTATTATATCTCAAGCTGAAAAAAAGTGTCTGTATCATACCATCATTGTAAATTGCCATAAAAAGTTGTCAAAAAAAATTATAACTTAAACTTAAAAAATTGTAAGATCCCCAAAAATTGTAAATTTTTTTTATGCTAAACAAACCAAACAAATTGTATAAAAACCTACAAAACTTATAAAACTTGGAGATACAATACGAAATTCTTTCTTTTTTCCTAGTACAGTAGTCTTCTCCCTGAATACAAAACGCTCCATGTGGTGAAGTGAACAACTAGGTGTGAATATGTTATAAGGAGTGGTAAAATATGCATCAAACCTAGGCACATTTGTTACTATGTTTCAACTTTGATGCTTATTAATCAGCTTTGACACATCAACCACCATATCATTTGGTCTCTTATTTTGGTACTTTTATTTGGTCAATGTAGCATTATTCTTATTAAAATTATTTACGGATTCTTGTTGTGAATTAGACAGCAAAAAATCAACGGGAAATCAAAGATGAAGACTACAAGTAAATTTTGAAGAGGAAGCTAGAGAACATGTGAATTAAACTATTTTGTGCTATAATACTTATGGAATACTGATAATACTAAGAATAAAAAAGATAACTTTGCTCAATAGCAGAAGTAGACAAGTTAGCTCAACTCAGACACAAGTTGGGATCAAGTAAGCAAAACTAAAATAACTTGGGCCACAAGAGGAAGAGGGATGAAGAGTACCGCCATCTCCAGATCTCATCTAAGAATAAAATTTTTAGAAAGTCACGTCATACCTAGAGAATGTAGTCTATGGTCCAATATTTCCTCCGATATTCTAATAGATCGAGGGACAACTAATTATGATGTGAGGACCACTCTACTTAGACAATATAAATAGGAAAATCTTAGCTTGAAAAGGGTAGATGATGGTAACTGTCTTCTTCCTCAAAAAACAATAGAAATCTCTGGAGCAAGATGAACATGGCTTCTGTCAAAAACAGAGGCAAAAATAAAATTAAATGTGACAATTGAATCAAATCGCATTGTTTTGTATGTCGATGGTGTTATTTTAAATTGTTATTTAATAATATTTGACTTTTATTTAATCATTTATCATTCATATAAGATGCCCTGATTCTAACCAAACTTTTTCAACAATCGTGCTGTGTTTGGATTGATCAATTCAACTCGTGAAATAGCAATCTAGGAATATTGCTCCCATCTTTTTTCTAGCAAACTCGTCACTAACAAACCTCCTGTAAATCAAAATATTCCACAATCCACCATATCAAAGAAAGAAAAACATGAAAGAAATTCACAATTTCCTATACTAAATACTAGCTAAAATGGTTTGTAGTGTAAAAATTGAGTTATTCATGCTTGAAATTAATCTACCTTGTTTATTACTTGCGTTAGCAGATCGTACGTGAATTTTTAACAATAACTTGTTAATTTCATGTTGGATTCATAGAACAATAACATGTGGTGACGAAAATTTCCACTTAGATAGAATGCATGCTTAAATTATTGAAATTGCCATTCTAGATGAAGATTCCCAGTGAAGGCTGATGACATATATAGTAACACAATACTTATTCAGGGGTTTCTCATGCTAAAATTAGATTAATAACGTTTGAAACTAATCTGGTTCATTTATGCATGGTTTGTGTTAACACATTGTATAATTTCAACTTGGCATCGGGAATTATTCAACTACAACTCATTATTTCAGGTCAGATTTATGCATCACATTAAAAACTACAACCTCCAAGTAGACTAGAACAGAAGAAGGAAAATCAACAAGCAAATTTTATTTCAATATCCATCTTTATATATAGGAGTATCCATTATTTATAATTATTCAGAGGATAATATTTTACAGGAAGGCAAAGCTAAGACACTTGTATTGATGATGCTTGCACAAAGACGATTCTCCCCTTTAACCATATTTCTTTGAGAGCTTGAAATTATAGATTTGAATATTTTCAACATCAAGCTTCTGGAAATTACTGTGTTTTCGGTTTGCGAAATACTTCCCCCAGTTATATGGCTTATACTTTGCAGGGTTTTGATCATCTATCAGCTCTTCCAAAGGTTCCACAATGGTGTAGTGAGCAGGGTTGAAGAAGAATGGCATGGAGATCCTGCCTTTCTCAAAATTCACTACTGCATTATGCTCCACACTTTCATACCTATCATTGCTCCAAACCTGTACATATATTCACACACACACCACATGACATCGTTAGAATGACAAATCTCTCAATTTTGTACGAGTAGTCTATTAGAAGCGTAATCAGAAATTTAATGCCAGGTTTCTAATTGTATCAAGTCTATAGAAATCATTCAAAAAAATTAACTCATACTTGTCAAATTAGATGTAAAATATTTCTGATTAATTCAAGAAGACAGTCGAGAATTTTAGGTCGGTTTTATTACGTAATCACTTAGTTCAACAAATTTCATCATGTTTGTGTGCTTCTGCAGATTTCTCATAATACAAGAGTATAGAGTGTACTTTGGTAAACTTAACAGGGTCATGGAACTAAATATCGATCTTGACTTATAGTTATAAAGTAAAATTTTGAGAACTTGATGGCCATGGACACCTAGGCCATAACTGGGCTTCGTCTCTTATTATAAAGAACACGGGTGGTTGCAAACAAAATCAAACCAATTATGGTAAACATAGGATTGTTCCGCGAGATGTCTAGGTCTTTGATTCGTAAGTCTCAATCTGTTCCCAGCTAGGTTCACAATCATTTGGGATGGATGGGCAAACAAGAGGGGTAGGCCCGCCCAAATGTGGATAGATCTTTGTTATCCATTATCGTTATAGCAGCCGTCAAGAGTGGAACTTATAAAGCTTCTAAGTTGTTGGCGTAGTATATTTTACATGACTATGACTCAATCATATGATTCTACCCTTCATGTTTAATGGTAAATAGCTAGCTAGTTGCCTCCATAGTTCCCCTAATGTTCCTTCGAGTTGCCTATATGTCACTCATATGCATGGACTTGATAACGTTCATGGATCAAAGTCTAATGATAGAGCCACAAATAATTCAAATACTCTAGTAGATAGTTGATAGGCACTATCTTAATTTTCTATTTATCTTGTACTTACCCATTTAATTGGGTCACATTCACTCTGTAATCTTTTTATATAAACTGAATACAAACTCCACTCATCTCATCGTGAGAGAGTTCTCAAAACTCTTTATGGTATCAGAGCCTTTAACGGTGAGACAAGAGAGTTCTGCTATTTCTTTTTTTCCTTTGTCTATCAGATTTTTTTTCCTCCTTCTTTGAAGACATGTCCACTACGTCCAGCAACCAAAGTCTGTCTTCAGCAACTGAAATTCCAGACTACCCATACCCAGTGACGCAAAATGCCGCTAATTTTGTGTTCCTCCGTCTCTCTTCGACTAACTTCCTTCTATGGAAAACCCAAATGCTCAACATCCTCGAGAGTTATGATCTTCAAGGATTTATAAATGGTGACATCAAACCACCATCTCAGTTCATCACAATTGGTGAATCTGATTCCGACCCTAATCCCGCATTTGTCAAATGGCGCAAGTCCAATCGTCTCGTTAAGGGATGGCTCACTGCCACTCTTTCGGAAGATGTGCTTGTCATTGTTGTAGGCCTTCACACTGCAGTTGAGGTCTGGAATGCCTTAGTCCATGCTTTTGCTCGAGTTTCGTCTGATAGCAGCCTCGCCCTCAAGCAGCGACTAACTTCCATGACCCGCGGGAATGATACCTTAGCAGTCTATCTACGACTGTTTAAAGCAGTCTGTGATGATCTTGCTGCCATAGGAAAGCCTGTTTCCGATCACAAGAAATCTTGATGGCTTCTCAATGGGCTTGGCAAGGAATATGACATTTTTTTAACAATGATGCTTCGCCCTCCATTCTGAGGTTGTAACTATGTTAGAAAGTTATGCCGATCGTCATCATCTTGACGCTCCTCAATCTCCTCAAATGGCTTTCTATGGGCAACGTTCTTACCCTCAATCCCACAATCCCACTGACAATTCCAACAAGTTTAAACGACATAGTGGACCTCCGGCAACATTTATCTCCAAAGGGAGAGGATTTTCTCAAGGCCAAAATTCTGCCCCAAAGCAGTCTTCTCCTTCTTCTCATAAACAGCTGGCTTATGCCAATAAGGCCGAAACCCCCATCTGTCAGATTTGCAACAAGCAAAATCATACAGCACTTAAGTGCGTTAACCGATTCAACCATTCCTTTTCTGCAGACAATATTCCACAAGCACTTGCGGCTGTAAAACTAGCTAATACTCAGGATTCTGCTTGGTTTCTGGACACAGGAGCCACATATCACATCATGAGCAGTCCAGGTGATCTCCATTCTTTGCTCCCTTATCGCGGCTCTGATGGTGTCAAGGTTGGAAATGGCCATACTTTGCCGATCACTCATACTGGTCAAGCCACAATTGGTGTTGGTACTACATCTCTTAAATTGAATAATGTGCTCCTGGTCCCAGATATAAAAAAAGATTTGCTTTCTGTTATCAAGCTTACCACTGAATTTCCTCTCACTTTTATATATGATGGGCATGATTTTGTGATCAAGGACTTGATGACCAACAAGATAGTGGCGAAAGGGAGCAAGCACAGTGGATTGTATGCCTTGGACGAAGCTCCAACTGCCTTCTTCTCTCGTCGGTTTCGACAAGTTGATAATGATTGTTGGCATCATCGTCTAGGGCATCCACATCAACGTGTCATTGATCACTTGCACTCTAGAGCATTTATTTATTTTGACTCAAAAAATAAGTCCTCCACAGTATGTACTAGCTGCTAAATGGGCAAGTCATGTCGTTTACCATTTTTACTAGTTGATCGTAAAATAAATTCACCATCTCATAAAATTCATTGTGATTTGTGGGGACCGGCTCCGGTCAGATCTAGAGAACAATTCCGATTCTACATTATTTTTGCTGATGAATTCACCAATTTTACATGGTTTTTTCCTATGCGGTACAAGTTTGATTTGCTTGCATGTTTTGATCAATTTTACAAGTTTGTCACATGTCAGTTTGATGCTAAAATCCGGGTGTTTCAAAGTGACAAGGGTGGTGAATTTGCTGCTACTCATTTCAAACAATACTTGGCAAATAAGGGTATTCATCATGAATCGGCCTGTCCCAAAACCCCCGAGCAAAATGGGAAAGCTGAATGAAAACATCGCAATATCACAGAATTGGGACTTACTATGATGTTTCATGCTCATCTTCCACAACGGTTTTGGGTTGATTGTTTCTCTACGACTATTTTTTTGATCAATTGGTTACCATCTCTTCGTCTTGGAATGGATTCTCCGTTTCTTCGCCTCTATGGAAAGCCTCCGGATTATTCTACACTTCGTGTATTAGGATCCAAGTGTTTTCCCTATCTTGGAGACTATCGAGCAAACAAATTACAACCCAAATCCCTTCCTTGTGTATTTATTGGCTACAGTATCAAACATAAAGGATATAAATGCTTTTATCCACCGCCATGTTGTATTTGATGAAAAGGTTCTACCTTTTTTGGAGCCCACTCGCTTATATGACACGGGGTCTTTTGATGGTGATCTTTGCACATTTTCGGATTGGGAAATGCCTTCTAGTTGTGGTGCCATCCCAGCCCCATCTGCCTTTTCACCCCCTATGCATCCTGAATCAAAGTCTGATGTTCCTTCTGAATCAAAGTCCCCTATACTCTCTGGACGGCCCAGTGCTCTTGTTTTTGGCCAAGGTTCCACAAATGTATTGGTTTCACCATGCTCTTCTGCCGCATCCCCACAGTGTACTTTGCCATTGTCGAACAGTTCCTGAGCTGCAGCACCTGACCTCAGTTCATTGCCTGCTACATTTACCATGCATTCTGCTGCCTTACCACTACCTCCACCACATCCCAGGATCACACGCTCTCAGCTGGGCATCCACAAACCAAATCCTAAATACCTAAATCTTCATATATCTCATCCTTATGGTGACATTCCTGCTGAATCGCGTTCTGTCAAGGCTGCCAAACAACACCTTGGTTGGGTAGCTACTATGGATGAGGAGTTGGTTGTGTTAGCTACAAACCAAACTCGGGTTTTAGTTCCTTTTCGTCCCCACATGAATGTTGTCGATTGTAAATGGGTTTATAAGACTAAGCTCAAGTCAGATGGTTCTCTAGATCGACTAAAAGCTTGCCTCGTGGCAAAGGGGTTTAATCAAGTCAATGGAATCGATTTTTTTGAAACATTTTCTCCAGTCATTAAATTTGCAAGCATTCGCCTTGCTTAGACTGTTGTCGTGGTTAAAGGATGGGAAATTAGTCAGCTTGATGTCAAAAATGCATTCCTCCATGGTTCACTAGCCAAACCATTATACATGGCGCAACCTTCTGGTTATGTTGATTCGGCCTATCCCACTCATGTTTGTCAACTCATTCGCGCATTGTATGGTCTCAAACAAGCTCCCCGCGCTTGGTTTGACCAACTTAGTGAGTTTCTTCTCATCATTGGGTTTTATTGCAGTACAGCTAATCCCAGCTTATTTATCTGTTGTTCACATGATGGTATTCTTGTTTTGTTTCTTTATGTTGACGATATGATAATCACTGGAGATAACCCTTCTCGAATCAACTGGCTCATTTCCACTTTGGCACGGGAGTTCTCAATCAAAGATTTAGGGTTCCTTCATCATTTTCTTGGAATTGAGGTTCAACGGTTTGCTAAAGGCCTTTTTCTCTCTCAGACACGCTATATGCTCTTGATCTCTTAGATCGTGCATCTATGGGAGCCTGTAAACCCATTTCCACTGCGATGCCTGTCAAAGGACACATGCTTTCCTATGGTAATGAGCCATATCCCGATCCTACCACCTATCGCCGTATTGTTGGGGGATTGCAGTACCTTACTTTTACTCGTCCAGATATTTCTTATAATGTCAATTTTGTCTGTCAATTCATGCATGCTCCTACAATGGCTCACATTCAACTTGTCAAGTGCATTCTTCGTTATGTTCATGGCACTCCTCACTTTGGCTTACGTATTTTGGCATCTAGCATTCTAGACCTATATGCTTACTCAGATGCTGATTGGGCAGGTTACCCTAGCAGTCGTCGATCGACAACTGGGTTTTGTACATTTCTAGGTGGCAATTGTATTTCTTGGAGTGCTAAGAAACAGTCCATGGTTGCTCGCTCTAGTGCTGAGGCGGAATACCGTGCTATGGCCTCCACAACGGCCGAACTCACTTGGCTATCTTTTTTATTGTGTGATCTTAATATTCCTCTATCCACAACTCCTATATTTCACTGTGATAACATTAGTGCTTTACACATGACAATTAACCTAGTTTTTCATGGACACTCTAAACATATTGAGTTAGACTATCATTTTGTTCGAGAACGGGTGGCGCTTGGTTCTCTGGAAACTCGCTTTGTTCCATCCACATCCCAACATGCTGATATCTTCACCAAGCCCTCATCCAAAGCTTCATTCATCCAGTTGAGAAACAAACTCAACCTTTGTCATTATCCTCGTCCGAGTTTGCAGGGGAGTGATAATGTCATGGATCAAAGTCTGATGATAGAACCACAAATAATTCACATACTCTAATAGATAGTTGATAGGCATTATCTTAATTTTCTATTTATCTAGTACTTACCCATTTAATTGGGTCATATTCACTTTGTAATCTTTTTATATAAACTGAATACAAACTTCTCTCATCTCATCATGAGATAGAGTTCTCAAAACTCTTTAGAACTATGGTACTGGGAATTTTAGCATCAAAGTGAATTCATTTAAAAACTTCTTGAATGGTACCTTAATAATGTCACCAACAATGATAACATAAGCATCATGAGTAGGTTTGACTTGAATCCACTGTCCATCTGTTTTTCACTTCACTTCGAGTCCTCCATCATCGTCTTGAGCAAGGATGGCTAGGGCAACGACATCCTTGTGTCGGCCAACCCCAAGAGCAAGGTGAGGAACGGGACAAGCTGGATAGTGGTTGAGTTGGATGAAGCTGGGATGGTCTTTGAAGAATCCATTCAGACGATTAGCTAGCAGGCCTAAGCTTAGAGATATGAGTTCCAACAATTTGTAAGCTAGTTTTTGCACTTCTTCAGCATAGTGTTCGCATTCTTCTTTGAAAGAGCCAAATCTATTAGTAAAGTACATAGACCAATTTTGTGAAATAATTGTGGGCCTAGAGGAAGGCCCCCTCTTCTTTGTTTAGTTTAGCATTAAGGGTGTCCGGACCAGTTTAGGTGCACCTCGACTAATCATCTTCTTAGTCTAGTCAAATACAGGTCATCCACGTCTGGATTAGAGTATTTATTAGGGATAAATCCTGTTCGTGTTACTGTTCAGGGCCTGCCCAACAGCATGAAAAAAAAAACATAGGCTTTAGGCCCCAAATTTTTAAAAGGCCCCATAATTTTAGATACAAGCTCACACAAAAAATTAAATTCATTAAATTTTATGATCTACAAAAATGTCCCAAAAAATTAAATTCAATCAAAATTTTTATTGCAATAATTTAGGCATTTAGTCCAATCCATAACATTAAAAACATAGAAATTAAAAAAATAAAAAAAGGGCAAAAGTCAACTCATATTTACTCCCACCCCACTCTCTCTCTCTCTCTCTCTCTCTCTCTCTCTCTCTTCTCTGTCGGGTAAAAAAATAAAAAACAAAAATAAAAGTTGAAATTAAACACTCTTTCTCCCTCTTTGTGGTAAAAAAACATGAGACTTTGCGCATGGGCTCGGCTGGTGGGGGTTTAGGGTTAGCAAAAACAATTTTTTTTTTTTTGACTCAAGCCAACGTCGCTACATGTTTTGAGCCTACCTTTTGGTCACTCAGTCCTCATTACTGCATAATTGAGAGAGAGAGAGAGAGAGGGAGCTACAAAAGAAGAATATATTTTTGCGGCAATGGTGATCAATAGATTGAAAATGTGCATGAAAATTCTGAAGTTGGCCATTGCATTTCTCTTCTTCTTTGTTGAAGCAGTTGCTACAAACATTCATTCAGCTTACTACGTTATTCCTGCCCCTTATATCGACATTCTTCCTTGATTCATTCGTCAGTTCTTCTATCTGTGAGAGCCAAAACCCATTCCCATGGCTTAATTATGCCCTTCTGTGTGACTTGTGCTTATATTATTTGGTGAGAATTTTTCATTATGTTTTTGAAGTCTTGTTAGTCATGGAAATAATTTCTCTATTTACAGAGGTAAGATTGCGTACATTTCATCCTCCCCAAATCCCATAATGACGAGAATCTTGTGCACTGAGTTCGCACTTTTCATGTCTTGTTAATAATATTGAGTTGGGTATTTCTATGTATTTATAGTTTGATTGTATAGGACACCATTTTTTTTCTTAATTGTAACAATATATAGATGATAATAGTCCACATAATCAAAACACCATGTATTTTTGTCGGAGAAAATCGTTCCAACCACGTCTCGTTTGATTTTTTTGTTGCAAGTCAAATTGTGAATGTATGTAATTATCCACAAATCTTGTAGATTTGTTAATTATAAATTTTATTGAAACTCAAACTCAGGCATACAAAGTTTTGATTTACCCTTTGGTATAACTCTATGTTGCTTGCTTTGCTTGATAATTGATACATAATATATTGTGGGTGTCATTTATTCCATTTCTAGTAGGAAATTAATTTAGACTTTATTATCCTTAGAAATTTAGAAAAGTGGATGTCTTGGAATTGCACTTCAAGAAAAAAAAACAATTAAAAACCCTATTGTATTAGGAAGTAAAGTATTTTAGGTCTATAAATAGATTATAGACCACTCAGTTTCTTTTGGGGATTTTAGCCTCTAGTTTGGGCATCCATGTTAATCTGGATTGCAAAATTTTGTGTAATCTCCTCTCCCTTTGTTAATAGTAAAACTTTACTGCTGCGCTTCGCCCATGAATATAAGCAATTGAATCGATTGACGAAAAATTGTGTTCTGTATTTTTCTATTTCGTACCTTTTGGTTGTTTCTGGCCTTTGTTCATAACATAACAAGTGCTATTGAAGAACAAAAGTGAATATCAATTTACATAGTGACTTATTTTGTTTGCCTTTTTTGTTTTCATCTGTAAGCATATATATTGTGAAATTCTTTGAGATACTCTCTTCCTTGCACAAAGACTCTTCTAAGAGCAAGTTTTCACAAATAATGGCTCCCAGGGGATGTTTGGTAAGGGGTTATGAGGGGTTTTTGCAAGATGGGTCTGAAAAAAATAGTCCAAAGCTTTCTCAAATCTCATGTTTGTATGGAAAATTTAGTCTTGAGTTTTCAAATCCAGCTCGTAACTGGCCTAAAGATTAAACTCATGATCATGAGTTTCGTCAAATCTAGGGGGAGGTGGGTGTGGAAAGATGGGTACAGGGTTAAGTATTCAAAAGATAATTGTACCCCTTTATATGTGTATGAATTGAATTGATCAAAGGTAAAATAGTTATTTATATGACAAATAGTTGTCAATAATTATAATATATCCATGAGTCCTATATGCGTATGTGTTGCATACCAAACATGAGTATGGACCGAAGTGAATGCTGAATCCCATCTTTGCAAAGAGGGGTTTGAGTTTGGAGAAGCTAACCCAAACCCCACTCCAAACTTCATCCAAATAAGCCCCTAGAGATTTGGTTGGTGCTCTGCTTCTATTGGGTTAGTATGTCAAAGTTGAAAAATTCATTGAGATTATATAATGAACAATATATACGAGACGAGTTATCAACTCAGACGTTTTGAATTTGAATCTTGACAATTCTTTGAGATTAGGTCGTAAGAGATTTATCATCCATGAATACTCTAATTCCGGTGTGGATGATCTGTCTTTGACTGAACCGAAAAAAGAAAAGAACAACAAAGAGCCACATAACTCAGCAATATCATATAGAGAAACATCAGAGGCCACCTTTACCCTTCAAATGTCTCATCATTTTTATTTTTGTCCAAAGAATAAATTAGTAAGTAATTGGATTTTTCCCTTGGATTGGATAGATTCACATCTGCAGTACATTAATTTTTAAGACAAAGGTCATTACGAGTGTATAGAGCTCCTAGTTTGAGAGTTCAATCCCATTACGTGAACTTTTGACGTATCATTTATAAAGATAAACACTTGTCATCGCTTTAGATCAACTTCTATAATTAATTTTAAAAAATAGTTAGAAAAGTGCTAACCCTTTACAGATATATTATAATAATAATAATAATAATAATAAAGTAGAAGGAATTTGAATTTTAGAGACTAATGATGGTCAAAAATAAATGTCCCAAGCCCAACAAACGATGTTCTAGGGGCGTTAGTGGATTAGTTGAATAAGAGGACAGTCTATAGAGAATAAAAGAACACGAAATGTAAGTGGTTCACCTTAGTCGGAGGACTAAGGTTACATCAATTGTAAGGGAGTCTCTTACTCCTTGAGATTGTATATTGATTTCTGGTGAATACAACGATACTACAGGCATTGGGCCTTTACAAGAACTTGACCTTCTTGTTCTTTTTTCAATGTTTAGGGCTTTCGAGTGTAATGGGGAAGATGATCCTCTTTTGTGATGGGTTAACATTGTTCTATTTATACCAGTGAACTCCTTTAGGGTTTCTGTGGCTCCCTCTTCCTTTTAACTGATTTTGTGGGACCTTCCGTCATTGTCGAACAACAGCCTCTGTTGTTCGGCGCCGCTGTGCCCACGATCCTTGGATGGTTATGCGCTCCAACACTCTTTGCATTAGGGAGTGTGTAACGGCCACAGATGTTAGAAGTGGTCCCTTAGTCCTCTGGACACGTGGCGCGACATGATGTTCCAAGATTTTGGGCTAGGCTTCTCTATCCCGGACCGTCCTTTGGTTGGATTGGATTGTGCTTAGGTTGGACCTTAGGCCCTGTGGTGCCGTTGGGCTTTGTCTTTTGCCCCTTTCTACTCTCAATGTGGGCTAATTATGGGCGCTTAATTTGGGCCATTACGCAAGCAAGGGTTTCCCGGACTGGTTGGGCTTTTGGATTATGAAGGCCCATGCTCAAAGTTTTGTCCTTATCAGTTGCCCCCCAGCCCTAGGTCATGAGGATGACGTCATCTCTGATATGGGGTTAAAAAAGTCTTTTTCAAATCCAACACTGCTTCTTTGAGCAGTGGTTGTGCTTGATTATTGGTTCTAACCAGAGTTGGATTGCGTTAATGTTTGTCGGCTAAGATGAGATGGTTATGCACACGTGTCAACAGCGGGTGAGCCCGTAGGTACGATTTTTCTTGCGTATTCTGTCATATGCCTGTCTCGAATTGAATGTCGCATACAAAAAGAGGGAAAATATCTTTGCCTTTCCTACCTTGTAGTTTTGGATTCTTCTTCCTTCGCGCTTCCTCCCTTCCTTTGGCTTCTGAGGCGTCTTGTTCCAGGCTCTATGGCGACTTAGGGTTTCTACATTTCCAGTTCCTTTCTGCTTCTAGCGTCCTACTAGGTACGTTTATCTTTCCTTCTTTTTTTTGCTCGACCTAGATCCCTTCAACCCTCCCAGGTGGGACTTCAAGTTTCGCTTTCTGATCTGGAGATTTAGTTACTTCAGGAGTCACTCCAACAACCTATCTTCCCTTTCGTAATTTGTAGATCATTCTTCCTTGTTAAGGGTATCCTTTCTTAGGGTCTGGTGTTTGAGACATTTGTTTTGGACGAATTGTGCCTTGCAATTACCTTCTCTACACTCTGGTTTACAACCTGAACCTTTGAGGGAAAAGTTTGTCGTTTCTTCTTCTGAGTCAAAGTTCAAGGAGCAGGTCGTTGAGGAGGTTGAGGAGGCTACCTCGGCTTCCTCTAGTGATCGTTCTCTACGCTGGTGAAGAGGCTTCTAAGTCTGCCCTTGGAGTTTCTACCTCAGCTCCTTTAGTGTAGGCTCAGGCTCCTTTAGCTTTGCCTCCTATCCCCTTTATCCAGTCAAGGAAGAGGAAGTCTAAGCCAATTCTGCCTTCTACTCGTAGGAGGAAAACCCGTCCTGACAAATTCGACCTGACTTGTTGTGCGGAGGCGACACCCAATTGTCTCGATGATGAGGATTTGGAGGAGCTGAGGTGAGAGTATCATTTTCCTGATTCTGTTTCCTTGCATGCTCTCAAGGAGCGTGAGAGGTGCAATTCCTCTGTTCCCGGGTTAACCTGTTTTTGAATCTGCATTTTAGGCCGATTTTTGGTTCCTAGTTCACCTTTTCATTTGAAATGTGCTTCGTTTTTACAACGTCTGCCTAGCCCGACTTTCCCCGAACGGCTGGGGCCTTTTAGTCGATTTCCTCGTTCATTGGTTTGAGAGTGGGAACAACTCCCTTCCCTCCATTAGAGTTTTCTTATCTCTTCTAACTTAAGTCTTCTCCTTCTTTGGGCTTTTTTTATTTTGCCAAAAGAGTGAAGGCAAAGAACCTGGTTTCTGGGCTCCCCTCCTCCAACAAGGGGTGGAAGCCAAGGTTTTTCTTTGTTAGGGGTAATTCCTTGGGGAGCTGTGAGGAGAACCTGGCGACGTTCCTCGCATCCCCAGGTTTTGGGGGGTTCCGGGGAATACCAGTAAGGCTAATTGATTATCTGTGCTTTCCTTTCTTTTTTGTTGTTTTTATGTCTTGCTAATTTTTGATCTGACTTTCAGGTTTTTGCTCGACACTTAACGCGGAGGAGGCTTCTAGGGTCGCTATAGCCGAGGCCTTTGGACCGCAATCCTTCTTTAACCTGGTGACCGATGAGAACCTTGCTAAGTACGAGCTCGGGCCAAGCAAGGCTCTTGCTAATTGCTAATGCACGAGTTTGCAATTTTCATTTTTTTTGTCATTTCGTGTCTTCAGGTACGGATAATTACTAGTATATATATATATATATATATATATATATATATATATATATATATATATATATATGAGACAAAGGATAATGTCAATAATGAAATGGACACAGAAAGGAGCCACCTTCCAAGAAACAAGAATAAATTTGCATAAATGGTCCACTTCTCTTTGTACATTAGTACATCATCATAACATAAACTTGTTCTATACCACCAACCGATCACCCATATGATATGCATGTTCACTTTTTTAATTGATTAATTACTTAATCTTTTGAAATAAGAAAACATTATTTCTATTATATGGTTTTTTTTCATATTTTTTTCTCATTAAAGACAGAGATTAAAGTGCAGACCTAAGCGTGATATGATTTCGCCATTTTAAGCTTTAAATGATAGGTGCAGTAGGACGAGATTGTCATCATTGAACTCACTCCATAGACAACAAGAGAAAGGGAATCAAGAAACTACTGTGGATCGTCCATCTTCAAGACTATCAGCATAGTCAGCATCTGAATAGGTTGTAAGAAATCCTTAGGGGTGATTTAGTGGTTAGGCTTGACTTTTAGTAATTCAGATATTTCAAGTTCAATTTTTTCTTACACTTCTTAAGGGCTAACCACCATTATCCCTTTAGGGACATGTTCTAGACTAGCTCTAGCCACGGGGGCTAACCACTGATCTCAAAAGAGTAGTTGACGCAAGCCTGAACATCCCGTAAAAGAGAGAGAGAGAGAGAGAGAGAGAGAGAGAGAGAAAGAAGAAGAATAAACCATAAGACGAAGAGAACTAGGTTAAAATAATAAGTGACCATGATAAAAAATACTCTTGAGATTGCGTCAAATACATTTCACAGTAGATACAATGCACAATAGTAAGAGAGTGCAATATATATAATAAAGTAGTTAGATTGTTTGTCTTGAGTTTTTCGCGGCTCAAATCATTTGAGAATATTATTGATCTGACTTTCAAATCTTATTTTGTCTTGAGATTTTCGTGGTTTAGATTATTTTTTCTTGAGCAATTTTTTATTGCCTGTACCTAAAGGCACGAAATAATTCAAAAAATTGTCAATTATAAATATATTTGTATTCACACTCAATCAAAACACAAATATAAAGAAGAAATAAAGAAATTTAAGCACCAGTTATAGTGTGAATGAGTGGTGGTAGTGGTGGTGGTGGTGGGAGACAGTGATTGTAGAGGTGGACGGGCAACGACCATGGTAGTGGTGTTAGCCGTGGGTGGCAACAATGATGGTGGTGATAGATATTGGGTGACGATGATGATAGTAGCAAAGTCATGGGTGACCGCGGTGGTGATAGGGCAACGACGGTGGTGGTGGCCGTGGGATCAAGAATAAGAATCCCTTCATATGATGCCATCTTCCTCCCACTAGCTACTAGAGTAGAAAATGGCTTGGCATATTTCTCCCTCTCTCTCACACACAATTTGTGCTTGTAGAATGCATGAAGTGCTTGGTTAGACTGGTCAATTACAAGCATCTTGTTTAGTTATTCTCTCTCTCTCTCTCTCACACAACACAAACAAACATTTCTGTTTTTCCTTGGAGCGAAAACTTATTAGATGATCAAGAATACTTGACAGCAATGCACCGGAGATGAACCGAAAGCTCAACCGGCTTAGACATCATGGCCATGTGATCGCTTCCTATGATCTCCACCACTTTATTGGGGGGATTTTCTCGACCATCCATCGTTGAAATCCCTTCTTTACCAGCTTGTCTTCATCACAAATTATGAAAACTCGATCATCCGAACCATATCTCTTGCTCTACAACATCAGCACCTTTGACATGTCCTTGTCGCTGTACAAACGCAGCGGCCTAAGCAGCAACATTGCCAGTGCCAAATCCTGTGAGAAATGTGGCAAAATGATAAGAAACATCGTTTGACAAAGGTTAAATTTCATGCTCGTTTATGCATAATTCAATGTTTTAAGCATGGGTAAATTATATTTTACCTTGAACTATTACCCTTGTTTTATTTTGTACTCTCAATCTTAAAATTTCTCATACTACACTCTAAAGTATAAATTTTATTTAATATCACTCCAATAGATAACGACTGTTAATTTTTTGATAGATTAAAATGACAAACTTGAAAATCAATTAAAGGAGAGGGGGAAACTCCAAAGTTTTCCACAAAGTGCTTAGTACCATTTTATTTTATATGTTTTGCAACCAAATGGTTGCTGATAAGAAAAAGGTCGGTCAAAGGAAAAAGATTTGGAGCTTAGGAAAGGCAAAATTATGGATATATATTTTTCTTAATTTTTGATCTATATATGTGCAATAGACAGTAGTTTATTGGCAGTACAGACCACTCACGTGCACATTATTGTTAAAAAATTGATAATCATTATCTATTGGAGTGATATGAAACAAAATTAATATTTTAGAGTGCAATGTAAGAAATTTGATAGTTGATAGTATAAAGTAAAATAAAGGTAATAGTTCAAGGGGATAAGGTGTAATTTACCTTTTTTTTGGTCAAATAATTTACACTTTAAGCATTCCAATTCTGCATACCTCAATTGGGCTGGGCTGAAATACATTTGTTGCTGAGAACAAGGGGCCCAAGATGAAGGTGGTTGGAGGATTGTTGGGTCCATCATCATATGTATAACGACTGTCGAGTATAGATTCTTGTCTCCTGAATGACTTTGACAAAGAATAGAAGTAATTGGCCACGAGAATAAGTTAATGTACAGAGGTGTCCGGTTATGCCATGGCAAGTAATGGGATGACAATTTGAGTCGTGTTGAGTTTGTATTAGTGTAATGTCAAAATTACAGTCCCCAATAGTAAGTAACTTTTTTTTTTGTCATACAAGTTAACCTTACGATGACTACTAACATATCGTCATTACAATGTCTTGCAGTGTGCTTCCCTACAAAAAAATAAGATGAGAAGTACGAAACACTGAAATTCCCCTGAAATCACATTGTGATTCTCATATGGGGGTTAATCGAACTGAATTCTTTGAACTTTACCTACCAAATTGGATATTACAGACTCTAGTTCAGTTGTTAAGTTTCGATTTCTAGACCACATGATCAGATTATTTTTGTCCTTACAAGCTTGAATTCGAGCTCAATCTTGAGAAAATTTGAAAAATAAACATCCTATATGGTTTGCACCCGCCATCAATTGATTATTAGAAGTAAAATGTCTTTGCCTTTAATCCTGAGGTGCAATATTGTGTTACTTTGTTCACTATTTAATATATATATCATTTTACAAATTGTCAAGCTCAACTTTACAAAAGTGTGAGTAGTACATTTTTTGAACTCAATTTGTTTTAAATAAACTTCAAAATTGGCAATTTTTTAAAACGAATTAACTTAGATGAGTTGAAACTGAGGGGAGCCCAAACGATACATTTGCTCAACATCCTTATCCACACATCTAGTCAAAATATGAGCAATTTTTTGTTTGACTATTTTTCATTTCTGTTCAACTAATTTGCTTTTGACTAAGATGTATTCAGTTTCATGCAGCCCCACCATAATGGAATAAATTTGAATTTCAAAAGTGTAAAAGTGAAACCAACTACATTTGTTATGATAGTTGCAAGAGTTTCATGAAAGGAAAATGTTATACGACCCAAATGCAACTCAAAAAATTGTAATTCAAATACATATTATCTTTTGAATGAGTAAATTCTACTGAAAAATTGATGAGACTCACTCATCTAATGGATGATATATGCATTTGGGTTGTATATCAATAAAAACCACAATAAACCACATTTCATATCAACAAAAAAATAAAGAAAAAAATGAGTAAAAGGGCAAAAAAGCAAGGTATGCCTCTTGATTGAGGGTAGATATGTTGAGGGTTGGACCAGACATCAAGGCAGTGACAAAAACAGCAACATAAATTTTCTCTGGAAATCTCTCGATGGCAGGAGAAATAGCCAACCCTCCAAGGCTGTGACCTACCATGATGACTCTCTCATGTGAAGGAAGAGAGACCATGAAGGGCTCAACGGAGATAGAAGGAACATCTTTCACCTGTTTCGGATCGATCCCGGAAGCAGCCAAGTCAAGAGCTGTGACATTGTGGCCTGCCGATTTTAGACGTTGCACTTGCTTGTACCAAGACCATGCACCAAGGCATGCCCCATGAATTAGCACAAAATGCTTGCCGGATTCTGGCCGCCATGGCTTCTCGGATCTTTCTGCATTCACCATTTGGAGAGAGAAGAAGATGAGAACAAACACAAACATAACATGCTGCTTTTTTCTAATTTCCTCCTTGTTTTCTTCTCCTTCTGTCTTGAAGTCATAGACGCAAATAGTCAACAAATCATATCTTATACAACCTTATCAAGTTCAATTATTTTATCTTGACTATATAACTTCAGATATTAGGATGAAGGGAACTATTTTAATATTTTTTTTCATACCTTAAAAGATTAAAATTCTCATATTTTATCAGTAATTTCTTCAATTAGTATATAATAGGCCCTTGGAAGGGGCTGAAAACCTCAACTTTTTCTGGTTTTAGAAGAAAAGAAGCATGGTCTATTTGGACTCGAGCTTATTGGGTAGCTTTTTCATCAGCAACAAAAAAAACTGAAAAATGAGGCTTATGCAAGGGCTTGCAAAGAAAAATCGACTTTTTCGAAAATACTCTAAATGGTTCTAAGAACTTTTTTGACTCTGACTTTTTCATTTCATTTTTCAAACCTTTGCTTTGCACATAAAAAAGTCAGTTCAAAACGTGCCCAATGTATTCCAAAAGCACCGGCCATTTTTTTTCCTCTGCACGGAATGTGCCAAGAGAGGAGACAAAAACAAATCATCGGTAACTTTTATGACAAATTGCTTCAATTTAAAAAATTTAGGGTGCAACGTAAAAAATGGGGTAATAAGTAAAAATTTCAAATTTTTTGGAGGACAAAGTGCATTCACCCAAGATATTTACATATATTTTTAAGTTACTCCAAAGTCCAGAAATTGTTTATTTTGAATTTGACTGAGGATTCTTCCTTGGAGATTGAGTTTTCTGGGAACATGTCCAGACATGTAGATAATATCGGGGTATATTCGGAATGCCACTGTGAGGCTAAAATGAACATGGCTTTCGTCAGAAGGAGATTTGCAAAAATAAAATTAAATGTAACAATGGAATCAAATCAAATCATTTTGCATTTAGATGGTGTTATTTTAATTTTTTATTCAATAGCAGTCGACTTTTATCTAATTGTTTATCATTCATATAAGATGCCCCAACTCTAACCAAGCTTATTAGTAACACAATACCTATTCACAAGTTTTTCGTGTTAAAATCATGTTAATAATGTTTGACACTAATCAGGTTCATTTATGGTTTGTGTTAGTACATCGTATCATTTCAGCTTGACATCGGGAATTATTCAATTACAACTCTCTACTTCGTGTCAGATCTGTGTTGTGTTAATACATCACATAAAAAACTATGACCCCTAAGTAGAATGGGAGATAAGAAGAAAACCAACAAGCAACTTTTATTTAGTTTACAAGAAATCAAAGCTAAGACACTCTTACTGATTCTTGCACAAAGACAATTCTTCCCTTTAACCAGATTTCTGTGAGAGCCTGAAATGAGAGATTTGAATATTTTCAACATCAAGCTTCTGAAAATTACTGCATCTTTGAGTTGCAAAAAATTTCCCCCAGTTATATGCCTTATACTTGGCAAGGTTTTGATCATCTGTCAGCTCTTTCAGGGGTTCCACCATGGTGTAGTGGGCTGGGTTGAAGAAGAATGGAATGAAAAACCTGTCTTTCTCATAATTCACTATTGCCCTGTGCTCCACACTTTCATACCTTTCATTGCTTCAAACTTGTACATATGTTCACACACACCAAATGACATTGTCAACAAGACAAACCTCTCATTTTATGTATGAGTAGTCTAATAGTAGCGTGCTCAAAAAATTTTCTTCAATGAGCACCATTCATGAGTTATTGGTAATGCCAGGTGTCTAGTGTATCGAGCCTATGAAAATCGTTCCGTATAATCAAGAAATTAATACATATTTGTTAAGTTGCAAAATATTTATGATTTTATCACGTAATTACTTATTACAACAAATTTCATCATAAGGATTCCGAGTGCAAAAACCATAACAAAACAAAACAATGAGTGTGCACACGCGTGTGTGCACAGATCTCCCATAGTACTTGATTACAGAGTATAATTTAACAAATTGGAGAGGGCCATGGAAATTGAAATATCGATCTGTAAAGTAAAATTTTGAGAACTTGATGGCGCCGACCATCTAGGCCACAACATGGCTCTGTCTATGATTATCGAGGATGTGTGGTTGCAAACAAAATCAAACCAATTATGGTAAATATAGAACACATAAATGTGGATAGATCTTTTTTTTACTCTAGTTGTCTGTTATTCTTACGGCGGTTGTATCGTTATTCAATACTATTCTAGAGCTTATAAAGCTTGTAAGTTGTTGGCATAGTACATTTTACATGACTATGGTTCAATCATATAATTCTACCCTTCATGTTTAATAGTAAGTAGCTAGTTGTCTCAATTGTTACCCTAATGTTCCTTTGAGTTGCCTATTGGTCACTCATATGCATGGATTATGGTACTTGAATAATGTCACCAACATTGATAATATAAGCATCACGAATAGGTTTGACCCGAATCCATTCTCCATCTGTTTTTCGCTTCACTTCGAGTCCTCCAACATCGTCTTGAGCGAGGATGGCCAGGGCACCAGAATCCTTGTGGCGGCCAATCCCTAGAGCTAGGTGAGGAATGGGACAAGTTGGATAGTGGTTGAGCCGCATGTAGCTAGTTTGGTCTTCGAAGAATCCATTCAGACGATTAGCCGACAGACCTAAGCTTAGAGAGATTAGTTCCATCAACTTTTAAGCTAGTTTTTGCCCTTCCTGAGCATAGTGTTCGCATTCTTCTCTGGAAGACCAAGATCTACTAGTAAGTAAATAGGGAAAAATGAAAGCGGTATAGTTTTTAAGACTTATTTGAATAAAAGTTTATTTAGAAAAATATTTTGAATAAAAGTTCATTTTGAAGCAAAATAACTGAAGTACCCTCAAAGCAGACTTACTAATGCATCAAACTCTCTCTCACTTTCTCTATTTTCTCTCACTATTACTCTCTCTCGAGTAAATATTGAATGCAATGGGGATACTATGTCAGTAATGTTGACATGATATCACCAACTAACAATAAAATACCAAGTGGGCACGGTGAACCCCACTAGAGTAGTTATTTGCTTACATAGAGGAAGAATGAATAATTATTTACTTACATGGAGGGTTGATTATTAATTTTAATGGGATCCATTGCCATTTAATCATTCTCTCTTACTCTCACTCTCTCTCCCTATTCTCTCTAACAATTACTCTCTCTCCCTATATATTCTCTCTCAAACTCTTTCTCTCTCTTGCATAATCAAGACAGCATTACTCTCTCTCTATCCATATATTTTTATTTCTCTTTCTCCCCTTATTTTCTCTCTCCATTAAAGAAATACAAAAATGTGGCAAACCATCCCGAAAATGACGATCGAGGAAGGAGGGAGGCGACCCAAGAGCAGCAAAGCCTTGAGAAAGAGGTCACCAAATTAGAATAGCTACACACATGCTTTGGTGAGGAAGCTAGCCTATTTTATATTCAAGCGAGATTCAATTTACTATCTTGTGTTAAAACAAGATTCACTTTGCACATGTTAGTCTCGTACTGATTAATGATTAATGATTCGTCAAGAAGAGAATTTAAAAAAAAAATGTATTTCTTTTACTACTCGAACAAAAATAATTCAAAAAATTACCTCAATTCTAGTGGATTATCGGGCTACTGATTAAAATACTCTCTCAGCTCCTTATCATCATGCTTATGAGAAGCAGGAAACAGTGTTGGATTCTGTATTGTAAGATCAAACACCTCTTTCCAGTCTCTAACATTCTTGGTATGCTCAGTATCATAATAGCCCAATGGGTTCACTTCATCTCTCCTCACCTTTTTCTTCTCATCCTTCGACAGTGCGAAGAACTTCCTCGCTGCGATCTCAAGGTTTTTTCGGCGTTCTAATGGCACCCCATGGTTGATCACTTGGAAGAAACCCCAATTCTTGTAGGCCTCAACTATCTCAAATATAAGAGGTCTTATGGCTGCGACATCGGGCTCCGATGAGTTGGGGGAGTTTAGAACAAAGAGATCGATCAGTGGAATGTCCTCTGCTTCGACAACGACGAGTTTTGGACAGTGCTCGGTGGCTTGGATGAAGGCTGTGTCTACTTCTCCCATGGTTGTAGGGTGAGTGGTGGGTGACACATGGGAAGCAATTTAAGTTGTGACAAAAAACCGTCAATGTTATTGTGTATATAAATACACATATATATATAAGGGGTGGGTGGTGGGTGGGTGGGGGTTATCATATACATTGACCCTGGACACATGTAATCCTATGTTTGAACCTTCTGAGTCCATGACAAAAAACCTTGTAGGTTGTAATTAAGCTTAATAATCCATGACTAAGGTATGATACAACATAAATTTCAAACGTTTAGAAAATCAATTCCAATTTATGAAATAGTAATTTTTCTTTCTTTTTTTTAATTACATAATTTAATTGATGTCAACTCATTTTTCTAAAAAAAAAATTGTCAATTTTGTTTTTCAAAAAAAAAAAAATTAAGATGTGTATAATATCATATATGAATAATAATTGAAATAAAATTATATTGAGTCATAAATTAATTAAAAAATTTTAAGTTGTGATAAAAATAAGTGAAAAAAATATATAAAGATAAAATTCAATTTTTTATATATTATATTGATGTCATAGTTGTGTATGCACTTGCTTTGAAAGGATTTGCCGGGAAAAAAAGGAGACTAACCTAGGCACGACTAGTTTTCTTTTTGGGAAATGCTATTTATATTTAATTTAGTGATTTTATTTGATGACATGATTATAACCATTGAATTGATAGTGGGTTCCAACTAATAGTGGGATCTATTGTCAATCTAATGACAGAGAATGATAAGGTCATCAAATAAAGTCATTAAATAAAATCGATGTAGCATTACTCGTTCTTTTTTGGTATTATATCTCAAGCTGAAAAAAAGTGTTTGTATCATACTGTCATTATAAAATTTGTGAACTTTTTTACAATTTTTTATGTTTATTTATAATTTTGTGAGGACTTAAGATGGATCGTAAGGTACTATAAAAAGTTGTCAAAAAAAATTATAACTTAAACTTTAAAAATTGTAAGATCCCCAAAAATTGTAAATTTTTTTTATGGTAAACAAACCAAGCAAATTGTATCAAAACCTACAAAACTTATAAAACTTGGAGATACAATACAAAATTCTTTTTTTTTCAAGTATAGTAGTTTTCTCCCCGAATACAAAACGCTCTATGTGGTGAAGTGAACAACTAGGTGTGAATATCTTATAAGGAGTGGTAAAATATGCATCAAACCTAGGCACATTTGTTACTATGTTTCAACTTTGATGCTTATTAATCAGCTTTGACACATCAACCACCATATCATTTGGTCTCTTATTTTGGTCCTTTTATTTGGTCAATGTAGCATTATTCTTATTAAAATTATTTACGGATTCTTGTAGTGAATGAGACAGCAAAAAATCAACGGGAAATCAAAGATGAAGACTACAAGTAAATTTTGAAGAGGAAGCTAGAGAACATGTGAATCAAACTATTTCGTGTAATAATACTTATGGAATACTGATAATACTAAGAATAAAAAAGATAACTTTGCTCAACAGCAGAAGTAGACAAGTCAGCTCAACTCAGACACAAGTTGGGATCAAGTAAGCAATTTTGCAAACAATTTCGGTTAAACTAAAATAACTTGGGCCACAAGAGGAAGAGGGATGAAGAGTACCGCCATCTCTAGATCTCATCTAAGAATAAAATTTCTAGAAAGCCACGTCATACCTAGAGAATGTAGTCTACGGTCCAATATTTCCTCTGATATTCTAACAGATTGAGGGACCATGATAACTTGAGGACCACTCTACTAAGACAATATAAATAGGAAAATCTTAGCTTGAAAAAGGCAGATGATGGTAATTGTCTTCTTCCTCAAAAAACAATAGAAATCTCTGGAGCAAGTTGAACATGGCCTCCGTCAGAAGCAGAGGCAAAAATAAAATTAAATGTCATAATTGAATCAAATCGCATTGTTTTGTATGTCGATGGTGTTATTTTAATTTGTTATTTAATAATAGTTGACTTTTATCTAATCGTTTATCATTCATTAAAGATGCCCTGATTCTAACCAAACTTTTTCAACAATCGTGTTGTGTTTGGATTGATCAACTCAACTCATGAAATAGAAATCTATGAATATTGCTCCCATCTTTTTTCTAGCAAACTTGTCACTAACAAACCTCCTATAAACCAAAATATTCCACAATCCACCATATCAAAGAAAGAAAAACATGAAAGAAATTCACAATTTCCTATACTGAATACTAGCTGAAATGGTTTGTCGTGTAAAAATTGAGTTATTCGTGCTTGAAATTAATCTACCTCATTTATTATTTGCGTTAGTAGATCATACGTGAATTTTTAACAATAACTTGTTAATTTCATGTCGGATTCATACAACAATAACATGTGGTGACGAAAATTGCCACTTAAATAGAATGCAAGCTTCAATTATTGAAATTGCCATTCTAGATGAAGATTCCTACTGAAGGCTGGTGACATATATAGTATCACAAAACTTATTCAGGGGTTTCTCGTGCTAAAATTAGATTAATAACGTTTGAAACTAATCTGGTTCATTTATGCATGGTTGGTGTTA